CGCAAACCACTTTTTTTTTTTTTTTAAGAATTTCAATAGCGTAATGCAAGAGAAGCTGCTGGAATGTGGTTGTTTGTGGTGGTGATGGTGATAATGAAGGTGATGATGGTGGTGGTGATAATGAAGGTGATGATGGTGATGGTGGTGATAATGAAGGTGATGATGATAGTGGTGGTGGTAATGAAGGTGATGATGGTGGTGGTGGTGGTAATGAAGGTGATAATTGTGGTGGTGGTGATAATGAAGGTGATGATGGTGATGGTGGTGATAATGAAGGTGATGATGGTGATGGTGGTGATAATGAAGGTGATGATGGTGATGGTGGTGATAATGAAGGTGATGATGGTGATGGTGGTGATAATGAAGGTGATGATGGTGATGGTGGTGATAATGAAGGTGATGATGGTGATGGTGGTGATAATGAAGGTGATGATGGTGATGGTGGTGATAATGAAGGTGATGATGGTGATGGTGGTGATAATGAAGGTGATGATGGTGATGGTGGTGATAATGAAGGTGATGATGGTGATGGTGGTGATAATGAAGGTGATGATGGTGATGGTGGTGATAATGAAGGTGATGATGGTGATGGTGGTGATAATGAAGGTGATGATGGTGATGGTGGTGATAATGAAGGTGATGATGGTGATGGTGGTGATAATGAAGGTGATGATGGTGATGGTGGTGATAATGAAGGTGATGATGGTGATGGTGGTGATAATGAAGGTGATGATGGTGATGGTGGTGATAATGAAGGTGATGATGGTGATGGTGGTGATAATGAAGGTGATGATGGTGATGGTGGTGATAATGAAGGTGATGATGGTGATGGTGGTGATAATGAAGGTGATGATGGTGATGGTGGTGATAATGAAGGTGATGATGGTGATGGTGGTGATAATGAAGGTGATGATGGTGATGGTGGTGATAATGAAGGTGATGATGGTGATGGTGGTGATAATGAAGGTGATGATGGTGATGGTGGTGATAATGAAGGTGATGATGGTGATGGTGGTGATAATGAAGGTGATGATGGTGATGGTGGTGATAATGAAGGTGATGATGGTGATGGTGGTGATAATGAAGGTGATGATGGTGATGGTGGTGATAATGAAGGTGATGATGGTGATGGTGGTGATAATGAAGGTGATGATGGTGATGGTGGTGATAATGAAGGTGATGATGGTGATGGTGGTGATAATGAAGGTGATGATGGTGATGGTGGTGATAATGAAGGTGATGATGGTGATGGTGGTGATAATGAAGGTGATGATGGTGATGGTGGTGATAATGAAGGTGATGATGGTGATGGTGGTGATAATGAAGGTGATGATGGTGATGGTGGTGATAATGAAGGTGATGATGGTGATGGTGGTGATAATGAAGGTGATGATGGTGATGGTGGTGATAATGAAGGTGATGATGGTGATGGTGGTGATAATGAAGGTGATGATGGTGATGGTGGTGATAATGAAGGTGATGATGGTGATGGTGGTGATAATGAAGGTGATGATGGTGATGGTGGTGATAATGAAGGTGATGATGGTGATGGTGGTGATAATGAAGGTGATGATGGTGATGGTGGTGATAATGAAGGTGATGATGGTGATGGTGGTGATAATGAAGGTGATGATGGTGATGGTGGTGATAATGAAGGTGATGATGGTGATGGTGGTGATAATGAAGGTGATGATGGTGATGGTGGTGATAATGAAGGTGATGATGGTGATGGTGGTGATAATGAAGGTGATGATGGTGATGGTGGTGATAATGAAGGTGATGATGGTGATGGTGGTGATAATGAAGGTGATGATGGGTGTGTGTGTGTGTGTGTGTGTGAGAGAGAGAGAGAAAGAGAGAGAGAGAGAGAGAGAGAGAGAGAGAGAGAGAAAGAGAGAGAGAGAGAGAGAGAGAGAGAGAATAGAGAGATAGATAAGAGAGAGAGAGAGAGAGAGAGCGAGAGAGAGAGAGAGAGAGAGAGAGAGAGAGTGTTTGTGTGTGCGTATGTGTGTCCATTTCCGTATTCATATCTGTGAGTACATTCATCTACGTCATTGTCACATGTACTTATGTCCATAGCGTAGTACGTTCTACCATCTGGCTCCTTGCACTGACACGTCCTCTATGGTTTGCAGAGCTTCCAGTGCCCGCTGCCCCCAACTCATCCTGCAACGGAGGATGTGACAACCCTTCTCCCCCCCCCCCCCCCCCCCCAGCGCCGCTTCCTTCAGGCGATGTCCGAGGTCGACTTGGTCACGGGGGTATGATGATGACTCCTAAGGGCATGAGAGCGGGCGAGCGATGCCCTTAGATTCCCCCTACAGGAACCCCGGGAGGTGGCGGGCTGTCGCGAACCATCAGGAGAACCGCCACGGCACAGCGGGTGGGTAGGTGGGGGAGGGGGAGGGGGGATAGTCATGTTCCGTTTGATAATGTTTTTCTTAAAATTTTGCTGTTGAAGAAAAAAAATGCAAAACGTTAATGCATATAAATTCTTTTTTTTTCTTAATTTTCTTCTAGTAACACTTCAATTCAGTATTGAATTCCATCCCTGCAATATATGTACATATATACATGTCTGCATATATATATCTACAAACAACTGTAACAATAAATCTCTTTCTCTTATAACTTCTTACTTCCCTTCCTTCCTCGTGCCAGTCTAACTTCCCCTTCACGCCCACAGGTTGTCTGCTATCCCTCGTACTGCTTGCTCCTCTCTTGACGCCCGCATTTGGTGTGGGCGTGGTGCTGGTGGCCGTCCTGATCTACAGCTGCGTGGTGGTGCCCGCCCTCGCCAACTACTACTCTTTCTCCCGCCTTCTCCTTCGCTCGGTCAAGTTCCTGGGCCATGGCGGGGGTGCGTTCGGGTGAGTGAGGCTTCGGTGCTTCGGATTCAGGTGGTTCGAAGCTTCGGGTTAGGGTTCGCTGTTTCGGGTTAGGGTTAGAGTTTGGTTTGAGTGGCTCGCTGCTTCGGATTCGGGTGTTGCGTGTGTTGGAATGTGTGTGGGTTTGATGTGATTGTGTGTGTGTGTGTGTGTGTGTGTGTGTGTGTGTGTGTGTGTGTGTATCCTGTGGTCCATCTAAGGTATGGGCAGTTAGGGCACGCACCCTGGGCGCCACTTAAAAAGGGCACCACTAAGGTTTTTATCAACATTTTAGCCCCTGTTGCTCCCGTAATCTGTTAACCAAAATGTTAACGAAGCTAAGTTATATAATTTTGCTGATTTTAGAGTTAGGTTATAAATAGATGGGCGTGAGACGTTTAGACTGGGTTGTCATTTTGCTATGGGCGATATTTTCCGTATATACGCCCCTGAATGTATGTATGTATGTATGTTTTTGTGTACTAGTTATTCTCCCGGCTTGTCCTTCGCTCGACTGAACTCCTTGGCGATGGCGGGAGTGCGTTCGGGTGAGTGAGGCTTCGGTGCTTCGTTTTCAGGATTCATGTTCAGGTGGTTCGAAGCTTCGTGGTCGGTATCGCTGCTTCGGGTTCGGTTTCGAGATCGAGTGGTTTGCTGCTTCGGGTTCGGATGTTGCGTGTGTTGGTTTTTGGTTGTGCGTTTGTGTGATTGGGTTTGTGTGTGTGCGTGCGTTTGTGAGATGGGCAATGGTGGGAAAGTGGCGTTTATCTTCGTGTTTTTATGTCTATTTTTCTATTTATTTACATGTGTGTGACTACAGGCACATACATAAAAGCATATAAACACGAACACAAACACACATTCATATATATATGTGTGTGTGTGTGTGTGTGTGTGTGTGTGTGTGTGTGTGTGTGTGTGTGTGTGTGTGTGTCTGTGTGTTGCATATATATATTACACATATATGTACGTGTATATATTTAATTTCACAATATCACCTCTGCATTCCAGGTCTATTGCAGGTCTTGTGTCGTTTTGATGTTTGTTCATTAAAATTACTTCCTGATTCGCAGCTCAATTTGCGCTAAAGAAATATAATATACAGAAGTGTATTTTTTTATCAGATTCATCTCGTAACAGATAGGCTTACATGCAATTGATATGAAGGATTAATAAAATAACTATAATAATGTAATGTTGAAGAGGAAATTGTCTGTTGATTAGGAAGTTGGACATTGTTAAAATCCTGAAAGGAAATTTCTGTGGGGGGAAATCTAGACATTCGAGAACATATTTTAGTTATATATTATGAATATGTTTATCAATATTTTCACCCTCCTACCCAACCTGATTTTTAAAAAATTCTGACATGGAACTCACCCCCTCCTGTATCCTGGAATTAGAATAAAAAGAAGACATTTCTGTAAATCTCACTACTAATGGAACATACGTCATAGAAAATTCATGTTATTCGTTTCTGCAACTCGCAGCTCTATCGCACACGGGTCAAATCCTTTAAGTTATATGGATAAGTCTCTCGTCTGTGCCATGAGAAAAAAAAAACACAAGCCATGAAGCATTTTTATAACTCGTACCATATCCGTTAGTTCTTGGGTCAGATTCTTTTAAGTTTCTCGAGAACAAAAAGTGGAACACGTCTGTGACTCGTATTTGCATCCTTTAAGTTCTTGAGTCAGAATCTCTATTTCTGAGAAAAAAATATAGAACATTTCTGTAACCGGCATTTGTATCCGTTATTTCTTAGGTCTTGCAACTCTAGAACAAAGAGAGAACATTTTTTGTGATTCGTGTCTATATCTCCTAGGTTCTCGAGTGAGAATCTCTTTTATAATCTGAGAACAAAAAGGGAACACTTCTGAAACTAATACCTGTATCTCTTGAGTTCTCGAGTGAGAATATCTTTTGTATTCTGAGAACAAAAAGGGGAATAGACGCCAGGAACCCATGTCTTTTGGAAATTCGCCCCTCACGTATACAGGTCCTCCTCCTCTCTCCCCTCTCCCCTTTCTCCTCTCCCCTCTTCCCTCTTCCCTCTTTCCTCTCCTCTCTCCCCTCTCCCCCCTTCCCTCTCCCCTTTCCCCTCTACCCTTTAGCTCCTACATCAGTCCTCTTGCCTCTCTATAGCTTCTCCCTCTCCTCCCTCTCCAGGTGGTCGTGGTGGCGAGCACATACCTGGCTACATGTGGCTGGTACTTCTGGTATTCGTCCCCTACTTGGTCCACACTTTACGAAACCGTCCTTACCTGCTGGTCGTAGCGGGGGTAATATACGTTGCGGTGGTCCTCCCTATGGCTCTGAAGGGGCAGCTGTACCAGGGTTCCCTCCTGTGGCTTCCTAGGACGGTCGTGGCTCTCTTGATGCTGCGGTGAGTCTGGGTTCGTCGTGGTTGGAGTCCTTGGTCGTGTGGGGGTCGTGGAGAGGTTGGCTTTGGATGTAGGGGAGAGGAGAGGAAGGGGGAGGTTGCAGTGTGATGAGGTGTCTGTCTGTCTGTCTCTGTCTTTCTGTTTCTGAGCCTGTCACTGTCTGTTTCTGTCTCTCCGTGTCTGTCTTTCTGTTTCTGTGCCTGTCACTGTCTGTTTTTGTCTCTCTATGTCTGTCTTTCTGTCTCTCTGTGTCTGTCTTTCTGTTTCTGTGCCTGGCACTGTCTGTTTCTGTG